TCGACTGAACGCGTAATATTGATTTTCCACATTACGCATAGACTCGGCGACGATGGACATGATGATTCATGCATTGACGGACTAGGACGACAACGAGGAGGAATCTTTGAAAGGAGCCTACCAACTCTACGATAACAGATGCCGCCACCAGATTGGCTGCGATCGAGTGCTAGCCGTTTCCCGCTGTCATTCCTCTCAGCGACCCTGCGCCTGTCTTTCCTTCATTCATTGCTCTTCCTCACTCACAATACACTATTTCCGTCCGCCCTTGCATGTCTGTTCATGTCCATGTGTTTCAGCTGAAGGCGACTCTTGACCTTTAGCAACCTGAACCTTCAGTGGACAGTTATATTCTTATTATTAACCACTCAGGTTCGGCTCCAGTTGTTGACGTTGGTATGTCTTCAGAGCCATCCCCCGCCGTGATTCCCAGTTCTGCCGAGTTCCGCCAAAATATTTGATCTGCTGTCATTGTCCATTTTGGTTGTGAAGCACTTCTACCGCCCGCTAGTCCTTATGTGCGTCTTTCTGATCAGCGTTTAGCCCCGTTCGTGTGAAGCTTAGAAATTTTTTTCTCAGCTTTCCATCATGGGCTGCACGATGAGTGCTGAGGAACGCGCCGCACTGGAACGCAGTCGGCAGATTGAAAAGAACCTGAAGGAAGATGGCCTCCAGGCAGCCAAAGACATCAAGTTGCTGCTTCTTGGTAAGTCTATCTGGTTTTCCTACCTCACCGGTTAAAATTACGAATTTTTTTCAGGTGCCGGCGAGTCGGGCAAGAGTACCATTGTCAAACAAATGAAGTGAGTATTGCTGATTGTCTTTCTAGCGTTTGCAGTGTTCAAAAACGCCGTCGTCGCCACACAATCGGCCATTTCTATAACTGAGGACAGCAGAAACTCGTTTCTCGCCAACTAGATTCCACTGCGATAGCGAACGTCCGCCAGACTTTTGGAAACGATCACCAACGCCTTTCATCTGGCGACAGCTGGCCATAAAAACTGGGATTTCAAATACAGTCCCTCATTTTCGCCTTTACTTCCCAGAATCTGAGGAAACGCTGCTGATATTTGCGTTTGCTCATTACGTTGTTTTAACTTATGGCACGGCTCCAGAAAATAACCAATTAAACTAGAACGCCATTCGTCTGATTTTTGCCAACGTATATTATTGGTGTTTATTAATATGTAACATTAGGCTGGTCTTTGAAAACAGTAAATTTAAAATGTCTGTACTTCCTCGTTATACGATCATGATTATGACTAAACCCAGTTCAGCTGCATTTTCGCTTCTTTGCCCATCGCTAACGTGGCTGGTATTTTTATTCCATCATGCAGAAACTGACGCTTTTAAATATTTGAAGTACTGACTGACGTCTCTAGTTTAGAGTAGCGCATGAAACTTATGATTTGATGCGAAAAAATAGATTTCTTCCCTGAATGACGTTATTCTATCTGAATCGTACGAAAATTATTTTTAGTTGGAAGACCTTCTCTAGCAATTGCTCAAAAAACATTTTTGGGAAATAATGAGTTCTTGCTGAGTATTGCCGGTGCTTTCAGAGACTGATGATCGCGTATGAACTCAACGCCCTCAAGGTGGCTTCTCATACATATTACTCGTGATCTCCATGAAGTAGAGAATGAATTGAATAGACCTCAGAGTCATATTCAAAGAAACTGCAAACCCTTTACTATTATCGAGTTGTTTCATCAGAATTTCGGTTGTAGTCTGCTTTCAGCTTCAGGATAAACATTAATGACTGGTATAGCAGTTGACGGAGGACGTTATTTAACTATTCATTTTTCTCTTACCCCTTTGTATTGGAAACGACCCAAGGATGTGGACAAGAATTCTACCTGAACCCAAGACATGCATGTTCACTCTTCAGTAATGCCAGTGTCATGCCACTTCCAAAGAGGTCTTTCCATTTTGTTGGAGGTTTTTCTGGGGGGGGGCTGCCAACCGTGATGCTACCCGTTTCCGTTCATTATCCGCTTCGCAAGGTGGCTATTGGCTATTCGTTGGCAATGGCATAATTTTAAACTCCTTGTTTGCAGCTAGCCAGTCACTTTAGTTAGATACTCTAATCGCTCTCCTACAACAGTACCACTTCACTCCTAATATGGATCTTCAAATCTTCATTTCCGTCACTTCAAGTCCTCTGTTTTCAGTTCTGTTGGGTGCTGCCGTCTCCAAGCAATAAAGCAAGTTTATCAGAGAGGAAGTTCTGCATATCGGCAGTTTGATGCCATGACAAACATCTGTCCTTCTAGAGCTGGAATAACTTGTTGCTTGTTGCTAATGCCAACGTAGAGTCCCTCTTATCCATTCACTCAATTGCCATTCCTCCATTTTTGAAGCCAACTCATTTGAGATAGATGTTTTCGTATTTTTGCTATGACGTCGGTGTCACTAATCAATGAATGTTTGGTGTCAGTTCTATCAATCTCATTCCGCTTCATCTTTTCCAAATTAATCTAGAGACTCAGAAATGTACCCATAAATACAGCTCTCTTTCAAAGTTAGAAACAGTAATATCGCACCTTCGAAGTTTTCTGCAAGCAATGCGATATCATCCGCAAATGCAACAGAGCTTACTCAGATATCATCCATTCGTTCCACCGTAGCTTCACTCTTTGGAGTTGGCTGAAGCACCCAGTCATGAAACATTGCAAGCAGCAGTGAAGACTTCACTCCTCCGTAACTCCCTCCGAAATTCGTATGCAAAAATTTGCTGAACCTGCCAACATTTTCGCTGCACTTGACAAAGGAGGATTATACAACTTTTTGATTATGTGAATAAGTGAATAAGTTCTGTTTATCCAGTCTCCACAAGGCATTTCTCCAGAGTATATCCAGAATTTTCCTGACACTGGCGAACATTGTTAAGCATTTGAATGCTGATTCCCTCTTTTTTTCCGTCAGCATCATCTGCCTGCCCTGAATCCAGATTGATCTTCGTCCAAGGTCTTCTCAAGACATATTCTGTTCACCGTTACACGCTTCGATAGTTTAGCAGGAACTGTTAGTAGGTGGAATGGCAGCTATTTGCATCTGAGCAACAGTCTGTCTGGAAAATCAGGACCACAGCATCTTTCTCCCTGTCATTCGAAATCTGCCCATTTTGAAATATCAGTTCAAAGAGATCCACTAATGTCGGAATCCATTCGTTTCATACTCCTTAATTAGCTCTGATTGTGTTTCATCAATCCTCGCCGCTCTGCCATTTGTCAGTTAGCTTAAGGCTGCCATCACTTCTTCAGCTTCATTGCTTATCCAGGTAGAATATAATACGGTGAATTTTGTTTCACAATGATATTAGGGTTCAGCAGCGATTGAGAAAGTTTCCCCATATCTCAATAATTTTGTATGATCACACGTGATGTTATCGTCATGTTTTATAACGGATGTTATACGAAACATTGTATGATCGAAGTAGCAACTGACTTTCCTAAACAAGGAGAGTTTGCAACGTTTTTCTCAACCACGCATTCCATTATTTTCGCCTTCCTCTTCAGAAAAGTGGTTTAATTTATAATTTCCTTCTGTACTGTTCTTTTCTTGCAACCGTTCAGTTTCAAAATTTGTCCACCGCTTCCATCATTTTTTCTTCCATTTTAGTTACTCTTCCGCTGATGTCCTACTCTTCTACTTTTGGAATCTGTAATATATGTTGCAAACTACGCCACTACTCTTGAAATGTGTTCTAAGCATATGTCATTGATTTATTGCCTGTAACAATCAATAAGTGGCTTGAATCTTCCACTCATTGTAAACTGATATGGTTTGAAAATTCTGTACATTTAAGCCTGTCATTTTCAAACCTTGCTCTAGATTTATGGCTGCCAATCAAGGATCGTAGGTTAACTTTGACTTATGCCATATACAGCACTTCTGCATATCCTGGCATCTTCTAGACATGCTCCTGAGTTCTGTTGAGGAGAAAATATTTAATCTGCCTTCCGGTTGATCCATCAGGGGGGAGTCACGTGCTTTTCTTGCACTGATTTGTGAAAATCCATGTGCCGCCTATGAGCATATCGTGCATCTCAGACAGGTCTGCTAATCGTTCCCCGCTGTCATTCATTTTGCCAATACCGTGTGACCCCAGCCATCTATAGAGCACATTCGTTTCTCTCGCTTTCGCATTGAGAACACTCAGAACAATCAAGCTTTGATCGGTTCGGCATTTTTGTTTGGTAGACTCAAAAATTCTTCCTCTAATTCCTCTGCCGCATTTTCCATAGAGGTACGTCAATGAACTATTGTTTTCTTTCTGAATCATATATAAAATAAATCGTTTTCTGCTGTTTTTCAGTATGAATTGCAAAGGCATAATCCAAATACTCAAATTCACTGCTTGTCAGACTGACGACATGCCGCAGTTGGCGCCTCTTATTTCAGGTTAAGTCATTTGTAGTTGGACTTGAATCGCTCTAATCATTCAACCAGATACTACATTCAAATGAGCGAAGATTCAATCTGCATTTCTGGTGCATTCCAGTGCAATACCACCTCTATGAGAAGCACATTCCGTCGTATTCCCCGTGCAACACAAATTATAATTTCCAGAGGTTACTGCGCTTGTTCAAAATCAAGGTGTCTGTTGTATTGCAGCCGTCGGTATTCCCATAAGATTCAGTGCTTTTGCAATAACTGTTGTGCTTCCAGGTGTGTTTAACGTTCGCACATTCCACGTAACAAACTGTCCGGCATTTATCACTGAAATGCATGCCTCTCCCTTCTGAAGATTTTTGAGATCCACCCTCAAAGCCATTGAGATTTCTGGGTTCGTTACCAATAAAATTCGGACCATATGATAACTTATGTACGATTTCTGCAATGAGAGAAATACCCACTCAGTAGGTGATTGACCAGAAGCGTCATCATGGCTTCATTATTCTCTGTTTCAGCAGCAAGAAAGAATGCATCTCTCTGTAATTCGCTTTTCCAAGCATTTGCTTACGTTTGAAATTGCCCAGTTTCAAGAGTCGGACGTGAGATCTGATTTTGAGGTTACTCTGTGCCATGTGATAATTTTTCTATTCGACAACAAGCGGATTTTGAAGTGTGAGACGCGAATTATCGAGGCAACATGTAATATCAATATTAGTGGTTTCCGGATCATCTCACTCTGAAACTTCTACGTTGCTTTCATGCATTATGTTGCCAATACGCCATGATTCCACTGTGTTGCAAGAATAATTGATTATCAGTAAATCAGCTGACGTTTAGATTGCAGCCATTTAGATAAATTTATTCTTCTTTGATATTCGACTTGCCAGAAGTTCACATGGCGCCTTTTCAGACAATATTCACTTGCTCGTCATAAACCACAATGGTTCATATCCTCAAAACAAGCTGGGATTGTCTTGAAAGCTTTATGTTTCCCGCAATCACACAGTATCCGAAATCCATGACCAAACTTTAGTGACGCTGGGTATGGCAGCAGCTGCGCATGAGAGATTTAACCCTAAGTACGGCTACGGATTTAACCTCATCAAGATATTTATTATTTCTACCTTTGATTGAGACGTTAGAGTTTCCTGAATGTTGGCGCTTTTTGTTACAATATCTCGTCAGTATTATGTTGACCATGAAGTTTTATATATTATCCCAAGCTGAGCTTATTGCTTCACGGAGTAATCCAAACAGATTTAGCTGAATCAGACGTTAATTATCAGATTATCTAAATACATTCTTTGATGCAAGTAGCAGGCAGGAAACATTGCAATTCTGTCTGTGCTCAAAAACAAAATCGCAAACTCGTTAGCCTTTCCAACAGAGGGACGCGAAACGC